CATCTGTTGTTTGATTTACTTGGTTCCACTATGTTGATCAGTATTAGGTCCAGCAGTTCCACGGACAAATTGTCAGCCTCGGTTATCAGGGGACTCAGCACATCTAGGAAAAAGTTTGTGACCTTGGCACTGTGCTGATCACTGCAAGGGAATTTCGATCAAATGAATTGCTTGTCTAAACACGAATTTGGGACTCACTTCACAATCTTAAATATGGTACTGAAGAGGTCTTGGAAGATTTCCTGGCAGTCCTCTAGCTCGAAGCACATGTTGAAAGACTTGACAAAGGCCAAGTTCTCCAAGAGATAAAAGTACCGCTTGAAGGACGGATCGCGGGGATCCTTTAGGCCGTGCAGTTGTTTGATAAAAAACTTGAAAATGCTTTTGATTTGCTCTTGCTCTTTGTAGGGTGCCTCAGGGGCATATACGCGCAACACATCCGCTATGCAGCACGCAATCAGCAGTTGGACATCGCGGGATGGGTGCTGCATAAAGAAGTCATCCAGCAAGTGGAGCGCCAATGGTATATACTGCTGGTAGAGATTGTCATCCTGGTCCATGGTCTGCAGCACATTGGCGAGAGTCTGTCGGCGAGTATAATTAACCTTTAAATCGTGTCCAATCGTGATCCAGTACAACTCACCTTAAGGCGGCGTATGAGCTCGTCTGTGCCCAGATCTTCCACCAACGGCCGACAGCCATTGGGATAAACAATGTCCGTCATCCTCACCTACTGGAGCCGGACGGGACGGAACGCGGCAGGCGCTGATCTGAAATTAAAAGCGTTTAATCGTATGTAGAAGAATTTCCACATCAAGACACATTTTCCAACAACAAATTCAGGCGACCCTCAACTCAATGTAGAAATAGCAGTGCCAAATCGCAGGGTGGCATTGCCAGCCTCACACACGAACACACGCACACGCTCTCACGTACACGTACTCCACTCACACTCGCCCGCTTAACAGTGTTTCCCCGTTTCTACAAACAAAAAAACATTTAAATTGCATGTTCACTGCGCGTTTTCATAATGCTCGCAGTGCAAATCATGGTTCGAGCAACATGGCCGAGAGGAAAATTTGTGATGTGCAATCTTACTTTTCTTCACAACGGCAGGCGGGCAGGCGGCGGCGGTACAATTCCTTGCCAATTTTCAGGCCGCTTCTTTTGGGTGCACACAAACTGATGCACTAAAACACTGCACACCACAAGAACTTTGGAATGGACGTTTATTTACACATGTTCCACCGTCCTGTCTTGGTTCTCTTTTTACGGAGCGTATGTTGTTAAAAAAGAAAAACTTTTGCAGCGCATTTATGCGGAGTGGCACGCCATTTCCAGAGTGACCCTTGTGTATAGGATATACCGCCCGAAACTCTGAAATATACCGAAATATGCCATCTCGATTTCAAAATATACCCAATTAACCCCATAAATTCAGGCAAGTGAACACCAATTTTAAATTATTTTTGAAGATCTCTCTGACTAAAAAAAAAAACTCCAGCAGGATATCTGAACTGTTTTTAAATTAGTTAATTTTCTAGGTATTTGTGAGTAACTTGAAATGCCCACTAACTCGACAATGGCTTAAATCGTTTTCCGACAATGATAGGGTTTCATATTACTCGATATTGACATTGGGTCTAACATTGGTAGCTGGATAGAACCCTCAGAACTGAGCACATATTTATATTCCATTGTAGAATAAATTTTCTACAAGATTGGTTAATTTTAAGTACTCCATTCATAGCAGTTTTCATAAAAGAAGGATTATAAAAAAGTTCCACAACACTGTTAAGTTTTTTACATGGCAACTACATGTAAACAGCACATTTGTTACATATTAACCGAAGGACACAGAATGAGGATCTCAGGCTCATTGAGATTGAAGTTTTAAAGCTATCTCAACGAGAGAGCACAGATAAATCTTGATCTTGAACCTCGGTACCTGTACTTAGAAAGGAAATGAAAAGGTTAAAACCTTATATTCTTTGATTAAATCAAAGAAAAACATAAGCAATAATTCAAGGAAATAGGGTATAAAATGTTCATACCCCACATGACAAGCAACAAGTTTTCAAATGATGTAATAAATGATCCCTCTTAATTTACGCCACTTTCCATTCTAACTTACGTATTAAGATTTTAGAATCCTATATACTCTCTTAGTTTGGGCCTTATTTTGCAAACAATCGAACAAAAATAAGTCCTGAAAACTACCCAATATTATTAAAAATTTACGTGTCTATCTGATACAATCCTATGTTCAGTTCTACAAGGCCCAGCTATCTGGTAATTTTAAAACGAACACCAAAATCGAGTAATATGTTGCCGGATGTTAGCTCATTGCAGACCAGGGAGATTTTAATTACACACACGAACATTATAAAACTGGAAGAATTTTAGCGCAGTTCAGGTGAAAGTTATTGCGGTGATGTTGTTTTAAGTAAACAGATAAGATGGATCTAGAAGATTAATTTAGAAAATGGTATCATTTCCCGCCGTTTAATCAAGATGTTCACATTATTAAATAAAGGGGGGCTTATTGGGTTAAGTTCGTTTGTTTCCTCGCCCCATTCACAGCATGCAGTTCAAAACAACAACAAACACTTTAGAGAACACCATTTTAAATCCATTCTTCCACAAATTCCATTGAACATTGAACATCCAGGACATTGGAAAACTTTCTAGTGACTACAGATTGAAATAGATCCACAGCTGCGTAAAATCGAATGGACCAGAGACACCTGGTGCAGCTTGCAATCTTCTGCGACACATCAGCAGCTGCTATGTCCCATGGCACGCAGGAGAACATCAGCGTTGAAACTGGATACAGAAGCTTCCTGCTCATGGATCGGAGGCGATAGTCTGTATCTTATTGTAATACGCTATAATTAAGGAAATTGTCAGCGCTGTGCCGGTCCCTGCAACCTCTGTGCATTTGTGCATTTAAATTCGAATGAGTCAATGGCGCGCACAGCCACACCAATCGGTGCAGGTAGGTTTACTCTTTTCCAAGTCGCTTCTGTCACATTCTGTCAATTTGTAATCCAATTAGTGAGCACAGTGCAATGTATGCCGAGGCATCGGATGCAAAGTAGTTGACTGCTGCCCGCGGCGCTGTCGAAAAGGGAACGCCCAGATAGTCACAGCTTTACATTCACATAATTATGAGCAGACTTACGTAAATATTGCATATGCAACACGTTTAATTATAGACGCCACGCCGCAAACGCAATGCCACGCATTTGGAAGAAGGAGGAAACACAAAGTATTAATTGAATCGATGTAGAAGAGCGCACAGCTCGGCTGGATTATGGCTTCTTTGCGCGTAGTAAATAGGTATGCATCTCATCTTAAAATTTGAGGAGAGTAACTTTCATTTATTAAAGCCATCGCTTCATTTTCATCGTCTTCAGACTAGTGTGCCGCGGCTTTGTAGTGCTAACTCTGCTGTTGATATTCTTCAATGAGTTTCTCATCTACTACACGGCCCAGTCCAGCTGGCACCAAATCGATTGCAAACTGGGTAAGCTTCTTAGCCCAGTTCCGGATGAGATCGCACATAATTTACACCCACACACACTACCTCTTCTACCATAGATAATTGCACGCGCTTGCTGCTCATCGCTGACCCGCAGATCTTGGGCACCTCCTACGATCGCTCATCCCACAGCCCGCTGGCACGCTACGATTCGGACAGATATCTGCGAAAGAGCTTTGAACGCGCCGTATCCTTTACGCAGCCCCACATCATCGTCTTCCTGGGCGATTTGCTGGACGAGGGCAACATTGCCACTGCACAGGAGTATAAGCAATATGTAAAGCGCTTTCGGCGCATCTACCAGAACAAGAAATTCCGTAAAGTATGAACAAAATGCGCTCCTTCTTGTGTCTTGCTGGCAATACCTTAAAGTTCCGCATGATCTCTGCCTATTTTCAGAGAGTCCATGTGCCGGGGGATAATGACATTGGCGGCGAGAATGGCGACTACATATCCAACTCGAACCAGCGACGCTTCGAGAACGAGTTCATGAGCGAGGACCTCTTTGATTATGACCATCGCATCCGCTTCTTTAAGATCAATCGCATGCTATTGGACTTTACAAATCCCGACAGGGACAACAATGGCGATCGGCTCCGTATTGGGGTTTCGCACGCGCCACTGCTCATTGGCGGTGGACCGCTGCTGCGGGCCGTCATCAGCGACTTGGATCCACATATCATATTCTCGGGCCATTGGCACGAGTCCAGGATATTTATTTACCCCTCCACAAAGGTGATCAACTTCTATGAGAATGCAGTACGGCATTTCGACCTGAAGGCGCTGAAGGAGCAGGAGCACAGCTATTTGGAGATAATGGTGCCAACCTCATCGTACCGCATGGGCAAGTCCAAGATTGGTATGGGGTATGCTGTGCTGGGTGAGTACACATCCGAACTGGCCGCTGACTAATTATAAGCTGAAGCTGAGTCTACGTATATTTCCATTTTAGAGAACTACAACCTCAGCTATACGGTTCTTTGGCAGCCGAATCGTTTTATTCTGCTCTTCACTTACGTCTTCTGGGGCCTGTTTGTGCTCTGCGGGGCAGTTGTCTATAAAATGATGACACGCTGTCCATTCCGTGTGGCCAAACGACAGACGCACTATAGCCGCGTCTCCAATATACCTCAATTTTAGACTGTATCCCCCTCCCCCTACCGCCACCCCCCTTCTGGACAATAAACAGGAGATTCTCAACGATAGTAGCTCGAATAATTAATGAGATTGCATTGATATACACATAACGTTAAGTAGAATATTCCAATACTTACTTATACATCAATTGTTAACTTAAAGTGATTGTATCTGTTAATTTTTAATAATTTAGGTAGTAAAATGTATCGCTCTGCTTAGTTTTGGCTGCTCTTTCGATTTGGTAGTAGAAAGTGTAGTAGACACCAACAGGGTTGCATTCGCTTAGAGAATAGTGGGAAACACTGGGTGCAGTCGAGTGCGCATGCGAAAACATTGCCGATGCCTGCTGCCAGCCGCTTCCAGCTGAAAATAAGCCCGATGCCGCGTCATTTTAATTTTTAAACTAGAACCAAGAGGTCGCTCGGTCGGTCGGTCTGCGTCTGCGGCAGGATAGTTAAGCGTGACGCGTGTGCGTAACATAAAAATAACCATAAAACGAATACCAGCCAGTCAGTCAGACAGTGTTCAGAGTGTTTAGTGTGAAGGGAAATGAAGTGAAGTGTATCTGTTTCTGTATCTGAGTCGAGCGGAAAGGAAATACGAAACGAAGGTTAAGCTAAACCAAAATTCGAAATTCCTTTTAAAAATCGAGGGAAGAGCACGCACACCGGTTTTGTGCGAGAGAACCAAAAGACCAAAACGAATAAAAAGAAAAAGAACCGAGTGAGCCCCAAAGAAATTTAGACCCTCGCGAGATGAACGGAAGACGATTGTTTAGCAGCGGCCTGGCTCTGAGCCTGATCTTCTGTTGTTGCGGTGAGTTCACACACAATGCCAGCGCTGACTCATCCGAGCATCATGGAAATCATCTTCCCCACACAGCCTCCCCGGTGTCTTTGGGCGATGTGAGTATCGCAAAGGGTCCCCCAGCCACGCAGACCGTGAAGGAGCAGAGCGGCCTTCAGTTGCCCTGCAATTATCAGCTGCCCGTTGGGTATCGCCAGAGCAGTAGCGTCATTCTGCGCTGGCGCAAGGACAACAAGACCCTGCGACAGGCGGAGCTGGGCCAGGCAAGCAGCACCACCAGCGAGCCCCAGCTGGAGAGCATGCTGCGCGAGGATGCGAGACTCACGCTCAACAAGCAGAGCGGTGCTCTGCAGTTTGCCAGCGTTCTAGCCAGCGATGCTGGCAAATATCAGTGCCAGTTGCTGGTCGAGGGCGAGATGGCCGCCAGCTCCAGCAGCGGCCTTCTGGAGGTCATCGAGCAGCTGAAGTTTGTGCCGCAGCCCACCTCCAAGAACCTGGAGCTGGGCTCCTACAGCAAAGTGCATTGCAAGGCTCAGGGAACGCCGACGCCGCAAGTCAAATGGATGAGGGTAAGTCGTGGACGTCTTGCCGTTGCTCACTCCTTAGATTACTTATGGGCTGCTCGTTTCAGGAAACCCAACTGCCGCTGCCCACGAACGTGACCGATCAAAATGGAACGCTGATCTTCAGCCAGGTCAGCAATGACCAGCGCGGACAGTACACCTGCTTTGCCTCGAACAGCCAGGGCCAGATCAGTGCCACAGTGTCCATCGGTGTGGTGGTGGCACCCAAGTTCAGTGTGCCCCCGGAGGGACCCATTGAGACCACGGAGCAGGGCACTGTGGTGATGCACTGTCAGGCTATTGGGGAGCCCAAACCCACCATACAGTGGGACAAGGATCTGGCCTATCTCAATGAGAACAACACGGACGGAGAGCGCTTCACTCTGATGGAGAACGGCACCCTGGAGATACGGAATGTTCAGGCCGAGGATGAGGGACGCTATGGCTGCACCATCGGCAGCAGTGCTGGCCTGAAGCGCGCAGAGGTTCTGCTGGTGGTCAAGTCTGCCAAATCGGCCTCCAACTCCATTGTCACCCGCATCATCATTGTGATCATCTGCCTGGCCTTCCTCTACTTTGTGCTGGTGCTGGGCCTGAAGGTCTGGTATCGCTATCGCCGGCACCTGGGCAAGGTGCAGCTGGAGGATGCCACCCATGCGCCCACCTGCGACGGACATGAGCATGCCGAGCATGAGCCCTGCCTGACGGAGGCAAACAACTCCAGCAAGAATCTGAAGAGCAACAAGCTGCGGGAGAGCACCATCCTGGAGCATGAGTCTCAGGTGGCCGATGAAATTGTCTGAGTGCCATGCCCTGCCGCCCTTTGCTTCGACTTTCAATGATCTCGTCCCACCAAACCCTTTTCCCCCTAAAATGTTACTCCATTTTGTTGTTGAGTGTAAAATAGAAACAAAAAAAAGAAACAAAAAGAAAATATTGAAGAAATTTCCCTATAAATCCTATTTATATTTATATATTATATAGTATATATATTTATGCGTGTATGTCTCTGTGTATATATCCATGTACAGTTATTTTGTAGTAGAATAAATATTTTATAGCTCTCATAGAGCCACCATTTTATAGCGCAATCGTTTCAATATCTCTCCTTTCGGTTGCGGAGTGTGGGATTCGAATTTGGATTCAGATTCGGATTCGGTTTGGGGGAGTGGGTGGAGTTTGCCTCGTAAAATTCTCCTCTTTTTACCATCATAAATTGCGTTGCGTTGCGTTGCCCACTTGGCACTGCCGTAAACCTCACAGAATGCTCAACAGTTTTTTATGCGCTTTTTATGGCGAAAGCAGCCGTCGTTAGGCGACGAGGCGTCAGCCCCAACCCCCCACCCACATTAGAAAGAAAGTCGTAAAGTTTCTTGGGAGTGGAAGGGAGTATTTGTTGGTTAAATGAAAATGAAATCGTTGGGGTTTGTACATGACAGAAGTACAATATCATATTTTTTGGTTGCAAGAACAAATATGAACTTCGATGCTGAATATTCATTCTAATTAGACGGCTTGTGATATGGAAAATGGTTCCTGCAGTTGGTTGTTGTGATAACCCACCCCATTTATATCATCGCTTGTCATGTGCTCTTTCCATCAACATGAATTCCCTTGCAATTCCATGCCAATTGCCAGCGTCTGAACTTAATCGCTTCATTTGCATTTCCATTTCTGTTTGGCATCAATCGCAGCTTGCCTTTTGGTTTTTCCCTCTGTGTGCCTTGCCGAGGAAAAAGCTATGCGTTTTATGCATGTTTTATGGTTTTTTATAGCGCTCGCATAAACATTATGCGCCAACCGCACATCAAAGGCAACTACACATGCGCAGGACAGGCCAGATAAAAGAAAAAAACAAACAAAGTAAGCGGCAAGTGCAATTAAACGACCAACCCTACCACCCATACCCCTGCCCATACCCCTTACCTATTCAGCACATACCGTTCCAGTGGTATCCTATCCACTGCCGCCTCCATCTCCATCTCTGCTGCCATTCGCCTTTGATCTGCGGCGACGACGACCGACGACGACCGACGACATCGACATGCATTAAAAACTTGTTGTTGGCGGGGCCGTGGCCCTTCCCGCCCATGTGCTGTGTGTTCCTTCTTCTCGTTTTTGGTACTTTTTCGCCTCATTTGTTTATAGTGGATCTCCCCCTACACTCGGGACAGCACGAGAAACACCTTCAAAAGTTGTATATGGGGTGAGCGGGTGAGCGGATGGATGCTGTTTAAATGTTTATTTTGTTTAGTCTACGCAAAGGCCGCGTTACTTTACTAAAATTTATTTTAATTCCTCCAAATGTTTGATGTTTGCCAGCGCATAGGATTCGATGTGCATTCGATTTTGGGGAGGTTTTGGCTCGCCCCATAAAATTAAACGAGCTGGAGGTAAGTAGTAGAAAATAATAACTTAAACAACCCAAGACGAGACTCTATAAGGGGAGAAAGATGAAAAGATCCGAGGCTAATGGCTAATGAAAAGATCAGAGAAACAAGTACTTGAGGCTGGGTTGGGTTGGTAAAGGGCAGTCAAATTCCTATAGAAAGAGTACTATGGAGGCAGTTTTAACTATGACAGAGGATCATCTCAGGAAGTTGCCTGCACCTTCCTCTCATTGTTAAACATTTCAGATTATTAACACACAATTTGGCCCGCTTTGAGTCGCCCAATACTGATCCTCTCCACCCTAATGGCCAATGGTGTTGTATAGGGGAGAAATCCGAAAAAAAATAATAAAACATAAGCCCAAACATTCTGGCAGAGCATGGCATAAATCTTCAACTTTATGACATCAATAACTGTCGTGCGTTCGGGAAGTGGAAAATGGAAAAAGCGCAGTGTTGCCCGCCCGTTCTCTCTCTTGTTCTCTCTTTCTGCTTTCATTTGATAACCGCACACACACATACAGACAAACACACACACATCATCACAAAGGGCTGTTAATCAGGGTTGGGCAAGGGCACCACCACCACCACCACCCCTCGCTGACGGGGAAGGGATACATAGTTTATACAAATGGCAACGGCATTTTACGACTGTGTTGGATGTCAGTCAGCGCCGCTGCTCGCCCAAAAGGATCTGCTGCAATTGTTTTTGTGTGGGTTTTGGGTTTTTGTTTTCCATTTTCAGTCCAAGGAGGGGAGGGGAGTGGAAAGGCCTCGTAAAAGAACAAGCGCAAAACTATAAAATGGAAAGCACACACAGGCAGAGGCTCACGCACAGTAGCTCCTCGGGGGGAAGCCTCTTGCAGTTTCTACCAAGCGTGTGCGTCTGCTCGTAAAAGCAGCAAGCCACCAATGGATATTACCACTCCCCTCCGCCTGCCCACCCAGCCCTCTGCGCCCTGACACTATCTAGTCCGCGCAATCCCCCCCACGGTATGTGCTGCCACTGGTTGGGTCATTAAGACGCATTATTGTTTGGATTTAAAATGAGGGAAAACCACAGCAGGAGGAGGTCGAAAATGATCCAGCTATGATTGCCTAGCGACTCTTGGTTGATTACTGACAGCTGATAGCACAAGGAAATCCCTCGTTTTAATGAAACTTTGATTAGCATTTAGACTAAATAAATTCTAAAAAGATGAACAAATGAATATCGGATGAACATTTAAAACACTGGAGACACATGAAAGAAGTCAATTAACTTATCATATCAAGATTAAAAGTGGGAATTTATCCTAAGAACTTATTTAAAGAACTTTTCCAGCTCTCTTAGCTTCTTAACTAATTTTTACTGAATATAAAATCCCTGAAAATCGGTTTTAAATTCAAACTATACTGGCGCGCAGCGTCAGCTGCACAGCAACACTGCCCAAACAGGCAAGAAATACTGGTTTGCACGCATACATTCACACTGTGCCCAGTATTCTTTAATTTCTCTCTTTTCTCTCTCTGAAATTCATAACATAAAATGGAATTAACAGAGTAACAGAGCACTATGGTCACAATGACCACTTTTGTTGGCCAAAACCTATTTTATAAGAGTCAAAAAATAAACGCGGTGTTGATTGACCATCAAAGTTGCGTACCAGAAATGTTCATAGATTGCGCCACAGATATAATCTATCTGCACAGCACGTGCAGTGAAGAAGTACAGATTATATGGATGTTTTAAATATCTCATAAATTGAAAAATACGATTAACTGATCCAATTTTGTTGATGCATTTTAATCAGTAGTGTTTTTACTACGTATTTTGTAATGTAGTTGACGATGTCAGTTCGTAGTGAAAACTAATTTTTGAAAAAGGTTTTTTAATAGAGTGCCACCTAGTCCCACCTTGAAACCTATTGTGTGTCGTAGCACAATAACTAATAGTTAAAATGTATATAGTCAGAAATGCCACATTTGACCACAACTCTTACAGTTTGCATTTATAGATCATAACCTCAAATGAGAAATTTCAATGTTTTTTTGCCGTTTGGAACACAATGAAGAAGACAACTGTGAAGTACCTAGGGTGCCATCTTGCATTTCATTTCATTTGACTATAGATTGGTCCGATTCGGATTATATTCTAGTAGTTTTATGGATATATATATATATAATTGTGGCTTCGGGTTAAATTATTCTTGTAAACATAAAGGTTGCTCAACCTATTTATCCTATTCTAAATACAAGCTCCCACTCACACTGTCTTTATCTTCTATTCTTATACTCTATTATATTACAGACTCTGTTTATATGCCGTAGAAGAAAGAGTAAAACAGCACACGTACTTGCACGTACAAAACAGGGAACAGACTGGAGTATCAGCCGTCAGGCAGGGGCAGCCAGCCAGCCCTCATTTCGATACCGACTGTCGGCGCAAGCGGTTCTCTTTCGGTTGTGGCTGCTCCGTGTTTCGCTTTCGTTCCGCACAGATAACTCGAAAAACTCCCTTCCCCCCCCCAGAAAACTTTGGGCAGCGGGAAAGCAGGCAAAATCACCCACCAAAAGCCGGTTCATTTCGAGTTTCGTTGCCCAGTGCCAAGGATGCAGCAGATGCACAACACAATACTCCTCTGGCAGTATCTTTCGGATACAAATTAAGTTGATTTGTTGCGCTCTGTTCGGATCGGTGCGGTGCGGTGCGGTTCGTTATTGGTATCGGTTCGCATCATTCCCTGGGTAATTGAACTCCACTGTCAGCCCAGCTCTCTCGGTCCGTCTTGCAGTGCATTTTGTGTATCTAGATACCCGTCTTTGTCGGCGTATCCGTATCGGTGTATCCGTAGACTGTTAGTGAAGTGCAACTCTGTCTCTCTGCCTGCCCCCGGTCGCTTGTCGCTTGTCAATCTAGGCACTGATAACACAAAAAATAGTAACCACGAAACGAAACATAAACCAACAACAACAACAAACAAACAGACAGGCATAGACACAGACACCGACACGGCAAGTGGCGTATCTCTTTGAGTCGCCTCACCGTGTGTTCGTCGATAAATGCATTTCATGCGTTCCAGCTATGTAAATAGCAATTTAATTTGAGTGTCCACAGTAAATATAAAAAAAACCAAACCAAACCCGGCATATACACAGCTCCTACGAAAAGGGCAGTCAGCAATTGGACTCGTCGCTGTCATCTGCAGTCGCAGTCGCAGTCGCAGTCGTCTGGCAACCAAATATTGAATATTTACAAATGCGTTGAGTGGATTTTCGAGTGGCCCGGCACTTACTTGGCAGCAACACTCCATACCCCGACCCCAAGCACTCCCACTGAGCCGATGGATAGTCGCCTGGCTATATCAACGGATTGAATTGTCAGCATATTCCAAATAAATACCCTTCAATCCGATTCGTGAGTGTGACTCGAGTCTGTGAGTGTGTGTGAGTGCGAGAATCCCCCGCTAATTGGCCAGAGAAAAAGAGACAGCGAGCGATAAAGGAGCACAAACTATGGATATGGATGTGATGATGATGATGA